CGTTACTGTAGAATCAAAATCGAAATCAAAATCGGGTTAGCAACTGAAAAATCGAATCTTGACTGCTTTCTCTGTAACTTTCGCGGCTACCAGACAAACGGCCCCAGCTGCACGGAAACTGTACAGCGCGAAAATTTCGAAAATTTCGCGCTGCTGACGTCAGCAATCGCTGTTCAAATTTTCCGCGATGCTGACGTCAGCAATCCCTCACGCGCGAAACAAAAACGCGTGACGCCAGCAGCGTCGTCAGAAATTTCCACGCAAATTACTTTCGACGCTACTGACGTCACTACGTGCAGACGCGTTAAAATCTGCTGACGTCAGCAATTCAATTTTATTATAGTGCTGTCAAATATTTACACATACACAAACGTTTGCGAACTGAAATTGTATGAAACGCAACTACTACATATACACATTATCATCAAAATTTATTAACATATCCTTAACTATGTGTAAAAACATCTGTATTAAACAATCATTTTAAAACTTGGAAATTACACAATTCACTAAAATCTATTAACAACAAAATTATCAAAGTCGTTTAAATTCAAACGCATGTTACAGCCTGTTGCTTCGCAACCCTAAGACGATTTCGTCGCCTCTTGTTTTTTTGCCACGTGGTGGGCCTATGATCGCGTGAAACGCGATCTATTTTGGGAGAAGATCAAACTGGGGCCGAACTTTAGCAGGAAAGTGACCAAATTAGGGCTGGGTTAATCCCAACCGTTGGATGCACCTCCGAGGCTGCCCAAGTGGTAGGGCCGAGATTTCGAGCCTTAGATTTACAGGAGAACACAAGATTTCGACTTTGTTGGATCAGTTGTTTATTTATAGGTTATGATCACCGCCTATTACGAAACTCGCGTCGCATTCCTCTGGGAGTAGGTTTTATTGTGGCTCTCGGAAAATTTACATTACTTTAGCTGACTAAAAAAATAAAACCTAGTCAGAGACGGATGCGACTCGGGGAGGCATCAACCCTAAACTCTACTTGGGTTCCCGTGTTTATGGTTGATCCTCCCGAAAATGCGTCCGGGTTCTCTAGGGATTAGTTTTTCTCCCTGCCCTAAAAATTTCTCGTAGCGTCATCTAGTGCTTCGTAGTGCTGATGAGTGGAAAACACTGATTTATTTCGACATAACGACATCGAAATTCAAATCCAACAGTGACGACGCGCGGGGTGGTCAGAACCTCTGACAAGTGAAATTGAATCGCGAGTATGGAAAATTCAGATTTGAGCTCCAAAAGTCCAGGTTCGGTTTCTCCGGCCCTAATTTGGTCACTTTCCTTCTAATGTTCGGCCTCAATTTGATCTTCTCCCATCTATTTTTGGGTTGCGTAGCAACCCTATACATTTGGTAGCACTTTTCGGTCGACTCAAATGACCAGTGTAGTTTTTGCCATTTTCACAGCGTCCGAACCACTCGTTTGAACGTTTTGATAACGAGTGTTCCAAATGTGTGGAGATGACAGCACTGATACACATGAGTTTCCAAAAAAGTGAAACCAAATGTGACATATCATTCCATAATCGTCGATAAATACGGCGAATGGAACAATAGGTCGTCATCAAATACAATGGACAAGGAAAACACCCACTGAACATAAATGCAAATCATGTGCGTCCATTCAACACGAGCAAAAACAGCATATAACAACTGCGAGTGGATGCTAAAATGCATCGGTGCTACAACAGAGATGGTTCCGGTATGCTAAGGCGAGCAACGCTGCCCCAACAACGATCCCCACCTCAAATGCAGACCCGACACAGTTTAACATCACACCTTTGTTGCATAACACGTGCAAAAACAACACATAGCAATGTCGAGTGAAGCATCGGTGCTACAACAGAGATGGTTCCGGTATGCTAAGGCGAGCAATGCTGCCCCAACAACGATCCCCACCTCAAATGTAGACCCGACACACTTTAGCATCACGCGTCAGTTGCACACACGAGACAGACAGGTGCAAACAGACAAAACACACATATCACACACACAGGCTCACACGCGCACGTACACACACGCATAAGCACACGCACACACTGACACACATGCAAACAACCACAGATAGATACAAAGACCGCAATAAACACACAACCGTCATGAATAAAATTCAGAAATGCATAAATAACTGCTAGCCTATCCCACCTTACCCTCCTTACAACCCTCCCTCCCTCCTTCCCTCATCTCCATCCCACTCCCTCCCTCATCTCCCTTCTCAGCTCACGTGCCCTGCACAAAGCAAAAACAGAGAAGTCAAAACACATACGCCCTGCACAAAGCAAAACAGAGAAGTCAACACATACACGTCCTGCACAAAGCAAAAACAGAGAAGTCAACACAAACACGCACTGCACAAATCAAAAACAGAGAAGTCAACACAAACACGCCCTGCACAACGCAAAAACAGAGAAGTCAACACAAACACGCCCTGCACAAAGCAAAAACAGAGAAGTCAACACACACACGCCCTGCACAAGAAAGCCAAAATAGAGAAAGCAACAGCACGCCTTGCCCAAAAAACTGTGCATGATCACATGTCAGATTATGTTATTTGTCTAGCCTGCAGTGGGGTGCTCAATAGTGAGTACAACCCCTTAGGGTTTCCTATATGTATCCTGCTGCTTGCTAGTTCAATCCATCATTCTCCATTCTCTCTTCTCCAATTCTCCTTCGCATACCCAAAACCCTAGTCCTAGGGCACAACCTACTACCTCCTAGTGTGGGCCTAGGCTACTAAGCCTAGGCCCCACTCCTATTGTTTCTAACATGGTATCAGAGCGAGCACGTTCCTGCCGCTTACCTCTATGGGCCCACCACCTGCTTCCGCTGCCGTACTGTCCGCCGCGCGCCCCGTGGAGCGCGGCGGCGAAACCCTAATTTTTCATCCCGCCGCGCCCTCGAAGCGTGCGGCGGTTTTCTTCCCGCCGTGCGCCCCGAGGCGCGCGGCGGTTTTCTGCCCGCCGTGCGCCCCGAGGCGCGCGGCGGCTTTCTGCACCGTCGCCCCCGCGTCGCCCCGCGTCGTTCCCGTCGCCCGCGGACCCCCGTTCCCGTCGCCCGCGGCCCCCCCGTTCCCGTCGCCCGCGGCCCCCCGTTCCCGTCGCTCGCGGCCCCCCGTTCCCGTCGCTCGCGGCCCCCCGTTCCCGTCGCCCGCGGCCCCCCGTTCCCGTCGCCCGCGGCCCCCCGTTCCCGTCGCCCGCGGCCCCCCGTTCCCGTCGCCCGCGGCCCCCCGTTCCCGTCGCCCGCGGCCCCCGTTTCGTCGCCCCGCGCCCCCCCTTTCGTCGCCCCGCGCGGACGCCAGCGCCACGGCCAGCCGCGAGCGCCAGCGCGGCCCGTACCGACTGCGCCAGGCCAGGGCGCGCCTCGAGCCGCTCGCCACTGCAGCAGCCGCCCCTGGAGCCGCCCGCCACAGCAGCAGCCGCCCCTGGAGCCGCCCGCCACTGCAGCAGCCGCCCCTGGAGTCGCCCGCCACAGCAGCAGCCGCCCCTGGAGCCGCCCGCCACTGCAGCAGCCGCCCCTGGAGCCGCCCGCCACTGCAGCAGCCGCCCCTGGAGCCGCTCGCCACTGCAGCAGCCGCCCCTGGAGTCGCCCGCCACAGCAGCAGCCGCCCCTGGCCCCTGGAGCAGCCGCCACTGCTGCAGCTGCCCCTGGACCCGAGCAGCCGCCCCTGCAGCAGCCGCCTCTGCAGCAGCCCACGGCGCCGACCCTGCAGCTGCATGCGACGCCGCTCCTGGTCCCGGTGCAGCCGCCTCCTTTTCCTGTCACCTGCGGTCTTGTTCCTCTCGTGCTGTATGTGTCGTTTTTTGCCCGCTCCGTGTTCGTTCGTCGTGCTCGTGTATTTGTTTGTTTTGCCTGTGTTCGTGCGCTCTACCCTACCTGCTCCGCGCTGTTGCTCTGCACGCGCGGTTGCCCGCGCCCTCGTGCGCTCTACCCTACCTGCTCCGCGCTGTTGCTCTGCACGCGCGGTTGCCCGCGCCCTCGTGCGCTCTACCCTACCTGCTCCGCGCTGTTGCTCTGCACGCGCGGTTGCCCGCGCCCTCGTGCGCTCTCCCCCCCCCCCCCGGGTCCCCTGGACAGGAGGGTGTGGGGGTGACAGGTATGGGGGTGCTCCGTGTGCGTCGTCCCTTCCTCCTCCTTCGTCTCCCACTGCTGCAGCTGCCGCTGAGGGGGGTGGAGGTGTGGGATCTGAAGGGAGTGGCGCTAGGGGGGTGATGTGGGAGTGGAGCTAGAGGTGAAACAGGGGATGTGTGTAGGGGGGTGTGGGACAGTTGGAGGAGGCTGCAGCACCTGTAGTCCGGGGCGCACTGTCCTGGTAGCTCAGAGAGCCTGCTGCGCCTGTGTGTCTGCAGCTTCAGTCGTCGTCTCCAATCTTCTCTCCCTTCACAGTTCCTCCTCCTCCTCACTTGCCCTCTGTGATAGCCTCTAGCTTTGCTGATAATTGTGAACTTTTGATGTGACAGCCGATTGTGCTGATTACACCCCACTTTGACTATGGGGGTGTGTCAGATTATGTTATTTGTCTAGCCTGCAGTGGGGTGCTCAATAGTGAGTACAACCCCTTAGGGTTTCCTATATGTATCCTGCTGCTTGCTAGTTCAATCCATCATTCTCCATTCTCTCTTCTCCAATTCTCCTTCGCATACCCAAAACCCTAGTCCTAGGGCACAACCTACTACCTCCTAGTGTGGGCCTAGGCTACTAAGCCTAGGTCCCACTCCTATTGTTTCTAACATCACACACTGTACAAGAAAGCAAAAGGCCAAAGGCCATAACGCTAGCGCTTCAGGCGCGGCACATTAGGTGCCATGCCAGCGCCCAAGCGTTAGAGCGCGCTGCGCGAGCGTTAGAGCGCGCTGCACTAGCTCGCTAGTTGCCAGCGGCCTAGACGAGCGTCAGAAGCGTCGACACCTTAGAAGCCGGCACTCTAAGCGCTAGTGCAAAAATTGACACTTATTTGTATAAGTAGCCCCAGTTGCCCAAGCACCAGCAGAATAGATGCTAGTGCCTACGCCCCAGCATGCTCATTCGCTCTTTCACGAGCTCTCTCACGTGCTCTTTCACGCGCTCTCTCACGCACTCTCTCACGTGCTCTCTCACGCGCTCTCTCACGCGCACTCTCAGGCACACTCTCACGCGCTCTCTCTCGCGCACTTTCACGCGCATTCACTCTCTCACGTGCTTTTCCACTCGCTCACTCACGCGCTCTCTCACGCGCTCTCATGCGCTCACTCACGCACACTCTCACGCGCACTCTCACGCTCTCACATTCTTATGCGCTCTCTCATGCGCTCTCTCACGCGCACACTCACGCGCTCTCTCACGCGCACTCTCAGGCGCACTCTCAGGCACACTCTCACGCGCATTCTCTCTCGCGCACTTTCACGCGCATTCTCTCTCTCACGCACTCACTCACGTGCTCTTTCACGCGCTCACTCACGCGCTCTCTCACGCACACTCTCACGCGCACTTTCACGCTCTAACACGCGCTATCTCACATGCTCTCTCATACGGAACCTCACGCGCTTTCTCACGCGCTCTCTCCTGCGCTCACTCACGCGCACCCTCACGAGCACTCTCACGCGCTCTCTCACGCGCTCTCTCACGCGCTCTCTCAAGCGCTCTCTCACGCTCTCTCACGCGCTCTCTCACATGCTCTCTCATACGCAATCTCACGAGCCCTCACGCGCTCTCTCATGCGCTCTCTCACGCGCTCTCTCACGGGCACCCTCACGCGCTCTCTCACGCGCTCTCTCACGTACTCACACGCGCTCTCTCACGCGCTCTCTCACGCTCTCTCTCACGCACTCTCTCACACGCTCTCTAATGCGCACCCTCACGCGCTCTCATGCGCTCTCTCATGCGCACCCTCACGCACTCTCTCACGCGCTCTCTCATGCGCTCTCTCACGCCCTCTCTCACGCCCTCTCTCACGCCCTCTCTCACGCGTTCTCTCACGCGCTCTCTCCTGCGCTCTCTCCTTCGCTCTCTCCTGCGCTCTCTCCTTCGCTCTCTCCTGCACTCTCTCCTTCGCTCTCTCCTGCGTTCTCTCCTTCGCTCTCTCCTGCGCGTTCGCTCCCGTGCACACGCTCTCCCTTACGCTTGGTATCTCCCCTTCGTCAGATGAAAGTGCAATGCAAGAGGAGATCAATGGACACAGGGAAAAAATAAAGGGAATTTCAGAGGGGGGAAGGAGGATGAAAGGACCGGGAATGCACCTGATAACCACGGTGCTTCAGAAAACAACCCGCGCTGGCGCACCTACCCGCGCTCCGCACACGAAATTCCCCATGTGTGGAATGATCGGGAATTGAGCAAAACTCTCGAGGTTTGGAAATGAGGAGATTGGTGCGGAGGCGACTCGGAGCTGGTTCGGGGCGAAACGGTAGGCCGAACACAAATGAAGCGAACGCTTCGGGATATCCTCACAAGAACATGCTACAGTAATAATTTGTAGTAGATCGCAACAAAAAAAAGTTCAGAACCAAAAGTAGACTTCACATTCCGTAAAATTATAGGCTACAGAACCGCCATACACGAAGCAGGCTTCATCATACCGTATAGTTTCGGCTATAAGAAGGTCTCCCGGGACTCTTATTGTGGCAGGTTTTGTGAGGACCCCCCTCTTGCCCCTAAACATCATAAGACCCCCTTTCACTGTATACAGTAGTTATGATAATTGTTGAGAGCCAGCTTTTACTGGCACAAAATCGAATTCTGACACGATTTTTGTGTCGGACTCGAATTCTGACACTTAATTTGTGTCAGACTCGAAATCTGACACAGATCTGACGTGCCGCACACACGAGCTTTGCGCGAATTCGTTACGAATATTAGACCACCCCGCCCAAACTTGAGCTAAACACCCTAAATAACAGATTGATACTTGTTAAATATGTAACCCCGGGACCTAAAAAATTGCTGCCGCCATAATGTCCACCCCAAGCATATTTCTAAGCATTTATAGAGATTCCCCCGGGTCTTATAGCCAGAACTATACGATAGTCCTCACCTGAAATATTCACGTAATCTAACATTCAATTAGACTACAAAAACAAGGCGAATGATACAGTATTTCATCTTCCAACACTCGGCCATCTTCCTCATGCCATTATGGTGCTGCAGCAGCCTAGCTCTCTGTTGCAGTGGTAAGCTGGGCTCCTCACGAGTAGCCCAGAAAAGGGTGCTAGTGGTGAAAGAGAGGAAGGAAGGATAGGGCATAATAGTGAGCGAGGAGGTAGTGGTGCGGAGAATTCTATTCTACGGGAGAGCTGAATTGTGTGGGACGCACGGTCAGAGTTCAGACAGTGATTCTTGACAGAGTGTTGGAATGCCTTGATAAAATTCAAGGATAGTTTCACTAGAGAAAAGTTTATAGAACAATATTATGGTACAAGCAAGTATCAGAATGAACGGCAGGAATGAATGAACTATGACACGGTTTGGTACAAGTACTAACTCTAAACTGGGTTGTACCCCATATAGGCTACCCCACTACAGCCTACACAATACAATGTTTGACACACCCCCTAGGCAAGGTGGGGGAGCACAAGTAGTCGCAGACAAGCAAAGCAAGCTCAGAGTGGATCACGAAGTTATCACACATTCTAAGCACAAGCAAAGGGCCACAAGGCCAGTCCAAAAGCAGAGTTATATAAAACAAAGCAAGCAGTACAGTGATCACAACCTAGCAAATGTAAGCATGCAAGGATATATATAGATCACAGTACAAGCAAGGTCAAGCAGTGAGTAAGTGAGAGAACGTAGGCACGAGGCCTAGAGCAGTGCAGTGACGCTGATGATCACTAGACGGAAGTGCCTTGGTGAATATATCAGCTGTGTTGGCCCGCGTGTCCACGTAAGCAAGACGAAGCTGGCCACGCTGCTGCAGCTCTCGAGCAAGAAAGTAACGCAGAGCGATGTGCTTCGTTCTGTGCTCCAGTCTGTGCTTCTGACACAAGACGAGGGCTGCCTTGTTGTCGCCGTACAGAACTGGAGGAGAACGAGGCCGCTCTCCCAAGTCAGTCAGCAGGTTGGTGAGCCAGCGAGGCTCCTCTGCAGCCATGGCTGTGGCGTAGATCTCGGCCTCACAACTGGAGCTGAGAACAGAAGAAGAGGTGGTAGACCGACACGAGACAGAGCTGGAACCAAGACTGAAGGTGTAACCCTGTGACGACCGCTGTGTAGCCAGGTCGTCAACCCAAGAGGCGTCTGATTGTCCAGTGATGACAACGTCACCCCGTCATCGAAGCACCGGCCCCATGCCTGATGTACTGCACAAGTAGCGCAGCACCCTCTTCGCAGCTTCCTAGTGCACCTTTCGGTGCCTACCAGAAGCCACGTAGCGTGCCAGAAGGCCAAGAGGGTACGCAAGGTTAGGACGAGTGCAGGTCATCAGGTACATGAGGCAGCCCACTAGCTCTGGGTACGGGCCACTCGGCTCTACGAACTCATCCGAAGATGGAGCTGAGAGCGAGTGACCTGTAGCCAGAGGAGTGGACTGTGGCGAGGACCAAGTGAAGCCGAAGCGCTGAAGGACCTGCTGCACCATGTGTGACTGAGTCAGTGTGATGGTGCGCCGTGCTCTGTCCCGGGTGATCTGCAAGCCAAGGTAGCTGCGCAGCTCACCCAGGTCTGTGCACGTGTGTCTCTTCTGCAGCTCCGACTTCACAAGGGCGAGTGCCTCAGTGTCAGCAGTGGTAAAGACCAAGTCGTCAACGTACACGAGGACTATGGGGCTGGCAGCACGGTCACGGTCAGACTCAGTGTCATGAATCTCAGGAAGAGAGGACGCAAGGGGAGATGGCAGAGGGACTCGCTGTGGAGCAGAGGAAGGACGAAGTGCCATAGTATGAGTACCTGGCAAAGGAGGAGGACGCGAACGCGGGACACGATGAGTGGTGCGACCAGCACGAACAGGGGAGACAGGGACGAGACGCATGCTCACGACGCTCTGTAAGGGAGACCGGCTTCTTAGTGTAACGAGACGGGGCAGGCAGCGGCGAGCCAGGAGGAAGGACAGTGGACGAAGGCTGCACGGAACCTCCAGCTCCAGTTTCTCCAGCTCCAGCGCCTCCAGCGCCAGCGCCTCCAGCTCCAGTGCCTTCGGCTCCAGTACCACCAGCTCCAGCCCCTCGAGGTCCAGTGCCTCCGGCTCCAGTTCCTCCAGCTCTAGTGCCTCCGGCTCCAGTGCCTCTGGCTCCAGGACCTCCAGCTCCAGCGCCTCCAGCTCCAGTGCCTCCAGCTCCAGTGCCTACGGCTCCAGTACCTCCAGCTCCAGTGCCTCCAGCTCCAGTGCCTCTGGCTCCAGTGTCTCCAGCGCCAGTGTGTCCAGCTCCAGCACCTCCAGCTCCAGCGCCTCCAGTGCCAGTGCCTCCATCTCCAGCGCCTCCAGCTCCAGCGCCTCCAGCGTCAGCGCCACCATCTCCCGAGCCCGCAACACCACCAGCTCCTATTGCTCTAGTACCAGCAGTACGAGCACCTCGAGGACCAGCAGCTCCAGCTCCAGAGCCTCTTGCCCCGGCGCCCCCAGCTCCAGCAGCGCCACTCCGAAGGCAGGAGCGTCGAGCAAGCCACTCACGTAGCTGCTGTGGTGAGAGAGTCTCACGTCGACTAGACTGCGGTGGCGAGGCACCCGCAGGACCTCCAGGACTAGTAGCTCTAGTACCTCCAGTACCTCCAGCTCCAGCGGGACCTCCAGCTCCTCCAGGATTAGCAGCACCACCAGCCCCGGCAGCTCCAGTACCTCCAGTACGAACACCTCCAGGACCAACAGCGCCAGCGCCAGAGCCTCCAGTTCCGGCGCCTCCAGCTCCAGCAGCACCACTCCGAAGGCGGGAGCGTCGAGCAAGCCACTCACGCAGCTGCTATGGTGAGAGAGGCTCCCGTAGTGAAGACGCAGCACCCCTAGGCCCAGCACCTCCAGACTCAACACCCCCAGGCTCCGCACCCGCAGGCTCAGCACCCCCAGGCTCCACACACTCAGGCTCTGCACCCCCAGGCTCGCACCCCCAGGCTCCGCACGCTCAGGCTCAGCACCCTCAGGCTCTGCACGCTCAGGCTCAGCACCCCCAGGCTCCGCACGCTAAGGCTCAGTACCCCCAGGCGCAGCACCCCGAGCAGGACCACCCCCAGCAGCACCTGAGTCACCAGTGACCTCAACAGGCTCAGCCAAGGGAAGTGGGTCTACCTGAGACACACCTGAAGGAGCATAACCTTGAGGGGGGAGGGGGTCTACCGGAGGGGGACCTGGAGCGAGGAAGAGCAGCGGGGGGGGGAAGAGGGGCAGTGCGGTAGGGGAAGAGATGGTAGAAGGGAACCGACTCGTCAAAGGTGACGTCCTGGGACGCGAAGACACGGCGCGAGGTGACGTGGTAAAACTGCCAGCCAGGCACGTCAGGGGGAAAGCCAAGGAAGACGCAGGGAACAGCGCGAGAGGAGAGCTTGTCCACGGTGGTATCGCGGACAAAGGCACGGGAGCCTCAGACCCGGAACCGCGACGCATCGCCAGCCTCATCCGTCCAACGCAGTGTGTGCGAGGTCTCCGGCAGGGAGACACGGGGCCAGAGGTTGAGCTGATGCGCAGCGTATCAGACCGCAAACGGCCACAGAAAATGGGGAGCAGCCGCATGGATCATGGAGGTACGAGCGACCTCCATGACCAAGCCAATGCGGCGCTCAGCAACCCCATTCTGCTGCAGTGAGGCCGGAAGCGTGAACGACTAGAGGATGCCCTCCCCCTGACAAAAGTCTTGCAAGAGGTCGGAGGAGAACTCACCACCTCTGTCAGAGTGCAGACGCAAGACGGGAAAGTCCGTGCGGAACCGCTCGTGGAGCTGGAGACAAACAGTGCGGATCCAAGGGATCAAAACCGGAGGGACCTCCTCCTTGCTGCGCAAGGGGAAGACCGTGATGTAACGCGAGTAATCGTCAACAACCAGCAGAAAGTACCGCTCGCGGCCCTGTCCACTGACGCGGGCTGGGCCCCACACGTCCATGTGGAGAGTCTGCAGGGGAGCAGTCATCGGGGGAAACGAGGAGGAGTGAGGAGCGGTGCGCTGCCGCCCCTCGACGCAAGGAAGGCAGGGCGGGGCAGGCGAGTGCGGGAGGGGGGCCAGAGACCTGGGAAGGCCAGAGACAAGGAGGCGGGAGTGCATGCCACGGAGGCGTGGTAGGGAGGGGTGACCAAGATGGTGGTGCCAGAGGACAGTCTGGTGCGAAAGGAGGCGACACGAACAAGGGGCTGACAGCTGACCTGACGCAGACACTTGACCAGACGCAGCAACCTGAGGAGGCTCAGTAGTCAGTGTGTACAGGCTCGACCCAGGCCAACGGGTGAACGTGGCCAAGTGACGGCCCGTCCGTGCACACGTGCAGATCGTCACACGTTGTCCTCCAGGGGTAAAGGTTTTAACCCCAGCATCCTGAAGGACGGCGGTACTCACCAAGTTGGTAGAGAACGAGGGGATGTGAAGACCTATCAGTGAGCCAAACGTGACCGCCGGACATGGGAGAACAGTGGAGGAACGTGCAAGAACTGGGCCCCCAGAGGGGTCAGCCAGAGAGACTACAACAGGTGCACGGAGTGGTGTGACTGTGGTACTGTCGCGAAAGAAGCAGCGAGAAGCACCTGAGGCAAGTGTGAAGGTGTGCAAGGCCTCAGCAAGCGCAATATCAAAGAGAGCAGACTCACTAGCACCCAGAGCAGCAGCTTCTATACCAAAGAGAGCAAACGCACTAGCACCTAGAGCAGCGGCCTCTATACCTGGGTCGGGCAGCACACACAGGTAGCAGTCACCCTCAGTACCAGTAGGCAAAGCGTACATTGTCGTAAGGATAACGTCATAGTCTAGAGCAAATATATCCACACCGCGCCGACGCAGCTCTAACCAGTGGGGGAGCTCAGCCGCGACGCCAAGCTCTGCGCGTCAGGCATCGCTCAGATAGGCGAAGCAGCGGGACTGTGTGTGGCCAAGTGTCCCGCAGGTTTGACCAGCCCGGTCACCTGTGCGAATGACGTATGGGCAGCAAGCAGTACACCCAGGGTCACGCTGAGCTAACCACTTACGAAGCTGGTGAGACGTAAGGGTCTCGCGCGGACGCCGCTGCAGCTGCATCTGGCCACCGCAAGAAACTCCCCACTGAACAGCTCCACCGCGACTGCTACCACGGCCGCCGCCACCACTCCCACTTCTACCATGAAGAGAAGTCATAGCGGGCAGGGCGTAGACGCGACGATCAGGCACTAGGGTTAGCGCGGAGGGTAGGGTGGGCTAGTGCACGGTCAGGGAAGGGCGGTGCGAGGTCAGAGCAGAGCGGCGCGCTGGAAGTAGGTCGGCGCGCAGGCAGGGCAGGGCGTATGCGCGGTGCGCGGGCAGGGCAGGGCGTGCGCGGGCTACGTGACTGGCAGGGGAGGGCTAAGACGCGGCGCGTGGGCAGAGCAGGGCGCGCGCGAGCTGCGTGACGGGCAGGGCAGGGCGGACGCGCGGTGCGCGGACAAGGCAGGGCGCGCGCGGGTCGCGCGACGGGCTGGGGCAGCCTGCATGGGCGACGAGACGGGCAGGGCAGCCTGCACGGGCCACGCAACGGGCAGGGCAGCCCGCACGGAAGACGCGACGGGCAGGGGCAGGGCGGACGGGCGATGCGACGGGCTGAGGCAGCCCGCACAGGCGACGCGACGCGAAAGGCAGTAGGGGCGCCCGGCGCGACGGGCAGCAGGGGCGCGCGACGCGACGGGCAGCAGGGGCAGGGCGTTCGCGGGGCGCGCGACGCAGGGCAGAGCGTGCACGGGGCAGCGCGACGCAGGGCAGGGCGTGCGCGGGGCGCGCGACGCAGGGCAGAGCGTGCGCGGGGCATCGCGACGCAACGCAGGGCAGGGCAGGGTGTGCGCGGGGCGGCGCAACGCAGGGCACGGCAGAGCATGCGCGTGTGGTGGGGCAGCGCGACGGGCAGAATACGATCGATGGGCCCTAACGAGAACGGTCCTAGGATAGGACTTGCTCTAATACCATATCAGAATGAACGGCAGGAATGAATGAACTATGACAGGGTTTGGTACAAGTACTAACCCTAAACTGGGTTGTACCCCATATAGGCTACCCCACTACACCCTACACAATACAATGTTTTGACAGCAAGGAGCTCCAAAATAGCAAGCACAATGAACCCTGGAGAAACGTTCCTCGGCAAACGTTTGACCTTTCCAAGTCAGCAACGCCAGGTGAAACGACAAGCACATGTGTTTTTCTCCTGAGTTGGCAGATTCTCAGGTTTAGATCTTTCAGAGTTGTTTACATTTTTACTGTTAGTAAAAACGTCTTTCATGTTCAGTTTCCTTACTGATTCGAAATCTCCTGGGGAGTACAATTTCCGAAATGATCTGATTGGTCAAAATTTGCTGTTTCGCGATTGGTCGAAATTTGTTGTTTCGCGATTGGTCAAAATTCGCGCACATTGCGAATTTTGGAGACAAGTAATTTCGAACGACCAGAATCGTTCTGCTCGACGATGCCTCTTTCGAGCTTCATTCTGTCGACTAGCGTTTCGTCGAAACGCCGTTTTCTCCAATTTCGTCGACCTGCAAGGCTCGATTTCGACGCCGATTTGCTCCCCTCGACAAGTGCCTTGTCAACGGGCAGTTGCGTAGAGCAGAAACAACACTTCAATTTCGACGACTTCATCTCGTCGAAAATCGACCCGTCGAACTGAGATAAAAGTCCCTGAAGTCGCTGATGACCACGAAACGAACACCGTTGTGCTCTGAAAAGCATGGCCGACTTCGCCCAAGCGAGGGCAAGGCCTTTTTTTCCTCGACAAACGGAAGATGGCTGATGATGCCGATACACGAAAAGAAACAACAGCACTTGCATTCATTCATTCTACATCTGACTTCTCCCCTCCTCTCCTCTCTTCCTCCTCCTGCCCTCCCACGCTCCCATGCTCCCATGCTCCCATGCTCCCATGCACCCATGCTCCCATGCACCCATGCACCCATGCTCCCATGCCCCCATGCTCCCATGCTCCCATGCTCCCATGCTTCTTCGCACCCATGCTCCTATGCTCCCATGCTCCCATGCTCCCTTGCACCCATGCTCCCATGCTCCCATGCTCCCATGCTCCCATGCACCCATGCTCCCATGCTCCCACACTCCCTCGCACCCATGCACCCTTGCTCCCATGATCCCATGCTCCCATGCTCCCATGCTCCAATGATCCCATGCTCCCATGCTCCCATGCATCCATGCTGCCATTCTCCCATGCTCCCATGCACCCATGCTTCCATGCTCCCATGCTCCCATGCACCCATGCTCCCATGCACCCAATATTATACTAGTATTGATATCTCAGTGCTACTAAAGGATAGGGGACGTACACCTCCCATGCTCCCATGCTCCCATGCTCCCATGCACCCATGCTCCCATGCTCCCATGCACCCATTCTTCCTTGCTCCCATGCTCCCATGCTCCCATGCACCCATGGTCCCATGCCCCCATGCTCCCATGCACCCATGCTCCCATGCTCCCTCGCACCAGTGCACCCATGCTCCCATGCTACCCTGCACCTATGCTCCCATGCTCCCATGCTCCCATGCTCCAATGCTCCCATGCTCCCATGCTCCCATGCACCCATGCTCCATGCTCCCATGCTCTCATGCTCCCATGCTCCCATGCTCCCATGTTCCCATGCTCCCATGCACCCATGCTCCCATGCTCCCATGCACCCATTATTACACCGCTACTGAAGGATAGGGGACGTACACCTCCTATGCTCCCATGCTCCCACGCACCCATGCTCCCATGCTCCCATGTTCCCATGCTCCCATGCTCCCATGCTCCCATGCACCCATGCTCCCATGCTCCCATGCACCCATGCTCCCATGCTCCCATGCACCCATGCTCCCATGCTCCCATGCACCCATGCTCCCATGTGCCCTTGCTCCTATGCTCCCATGCTCCCATGCTCCCATGCACCCATGCACCCATGCACCCATGCTCCCATGCTCCCATGCACCCATGCTCCCATGCTCCCATGCACCCATGCTCCCATGCTCCCATGCACCCACGCTCCCATGCGCCCTTGCTCCCATGCTCCCAGGCTCCTATGCTCCGATGCACCCATCTCCATGCCTCGCCTCAGCTAGTCGTCCTGCCTCAGCGCCTCCATCAGGTCGTGCTGTGCCACGAGCCACCCACGCCACCCACCCACTTTCGAGCTCATCCTGTTGTCGGTTTCCCAAACAAGGGTGGAAACGAGGGGGGGGGGGGGGGGGGGGGGGGGGGGGGGTAGGAAAAGGAGGGAATGGAAGAGGAACGGAGGTAGAAAAAAGGGGAAAGGGAATAGAAGGAAAGGATGGGGGAGGGGAAAAGGGGGTCCGAAGAGGCAGATCGCAAGAAGGACTAAGAAGCAAGCTAGACGTGGGAAACAGGATTGGAGAACAGTTGCGTGTGGGAGAGAGTGAATGAAAGAAAGTCTCCGACTTTGCAATTCCATCGGCATACCCCTATGCTGCCCCACTGCTCGCCTCCGTTGCTCATCCAATTCCACTCTCCTGTTACCCTGTCTGCATCTCTGATGCTCACAGGTGAAAGGGAAACGAAGCAAGAGTGGACAGGGGAAACAGGAGAATAGCACAGGTGGGGATGGCTGAGAGCGAATAACGAGAGGAAAGGGTTGGGGGTTGAGGGGGGGGCGAAGGGGAAAGGGGGGAAAAGATCGGGAGAAATGTTAATGATTTTCTGGGGTGAAGCTGTGGCAGGTGGAGATAGGGAGAAGGAGGAGTGAAACCGAGAGCAGCGGTCTCACAAGCACTTGACTCTGGTGTAATGTAATGTTCTTGTGAGGAGGGAGTGCCATGGGGAGTGTGAGGAGGGAGTGCCATGGGGAGTGTGAGGAGGGAGTGCCATGGGGAGTGTGAGGAGTGCCATGGGGAGTGTGAGGAGTGCCCTGGGGAGTGTGAGGAGGGAGTGCCATGGGGAGTGTAAGGAGGGAGTGCCATGGGGAGTGTGAGGAGGGAGTGTGATGGGGAGAATCGTATCTATCCATCCGTCCCAAGGCACTCACTCCCTCCAGCCGCGATTCAGTTCGGGCTGCATATGAACGGCACGTGGGCAGCAGCAACAGAGGCGGAGGCAATGGCAACAGCATCAGCTCGCCCCTTCCTTCTGCCACCTGCTGCCTGCCCCTTCTGCCACGCAGCCTGTCTCCCTCCCGGACCTCGCTGCAGCATGCTCCCATACCCACGTCTCACATTGCGCGGCTGTCCCACCAGCTTGCACCCCTACCCCCTCTCTCAATCCCGTCTGTCTACTCCCACCTTCGCTTCGCCGGCCTCTCATCAGCTCTAGTCGCTGCACCACTCCCGACCTTGCTGCTTTGCATCCCGCGTCACCACGCAGCAGCAGCTGGCGCTTCGGCTGCTGCTGGTGCTGTTGCAACAACAAGTCCTTTGATTGGGTCCCTCCGATCCCTTGGCTCCTGCACGCCATGCACCTGCCCTGCCTGCACCTGCGTCTACCCCTGTCCCGGTTCTCAACTTGTCCCTGTGCTTTCACCCGCCGCCGCCTCCTCGCATCTGCCCCACCCCACCTGCTGCTGCACGTAGCTTTGCTGCACCTTTGTTGGCCTCTCGTCAGCTCCAAACACTTGGGCAACGCTAACGAGTGCTAGAATCCCTCCGATCCTTGGGCTCCTGCCCGCCTTACACCTGTCACGCAACTGCCGACGAGCACCGTCATGGCACTGGGTAAGTGGAATGAGGAGAGGGAAAGGAAAAGAGGGGGGGTTCAGGAGGGGGAGCGGGGATGTGGGGGGTGGAAGGGAACAGATC